AAAAAAAAAAAAAAAAAAAAAAGACTGAAACTGGACCTGCACCTTTCTCCACTCACAAAAATTGATTCAAGATGGATAATGGAACACCACACTGTACCCCAGAATTGCATTAATGTACATAGTTATCATTTAATAAAAAAAAAAAAAAGAGGATAAAGGACTTAAATTTAAGGCATGAAACGATGGTTGCAGCCATCATTGATGTTTGGCAGGCCCGGACTGGATTCGAACCCGCCAGCTCAGGTGTATGTGGCTGGCGCCTTAGCCACTTGAGCCCCAGGCTGGGTTTTAAACCCACCAGCCCCCTAACCCCCTACATATGGCTGGTGCCCTAACCTTGAAGGCACCGAGCCCTCTCTTACTTTCTTGATTAATCTTACTGGAAGGGACTTTTCAGATTGTCTTTCTGATTTTGTCCATATTATAACAATAGAATCTATTTTCTATTTTTTCTTTTCTTTTTCTTTCTTTTTTTTGAGATAGGGTCATATTTGGTTACCCAGGCTAGAGTGCTGTTGCCTCAGCCTAGCTCACAGCAACATTAGACTTCTAGGTTCAAACGATCCTCCCCCTGCTGTTGCCTCAGCTTCCCTGAGCAGTTGGGACAACCAGCCAGGTGTTGCGGTGGGTGTTATAGGTGCCCACTATAACACTGAGCTAACAGAACCTATTTTCTACTTCAGTCATTTTTGCTTTTGCCCCCCACCCCTTTCCTTTTACTTTCTGTGGAGTTATTTTACCCTGGTATTTTTTCCTCCTACCTTCTTAGGCTTCTTTCTCCTAGCATAAGCATTTTAGGCTGAAGTAATGCTTTACCTGTATCCAACATGGTCTGGAATGCAGTATTTTCATTACTGTTCAGTTCTACTTTCAAATTTCCATAATTTAAAAATTTAACCCAGAGAGTTATTTGTATCTTCACTTGAAAATACTTCACCATGGCTGGGCGCAGTGGGTCATGCCTGTAATCCTAGCACTTTGGGAGGCTGAGGCAGGTAGACTGCTTTAACTCAGAAGTTTGAGACTAGCCTGAGCAAAAGGAAGACCCCAACTCTACTAAACAGAAAACTAGCCAGGTATTGTGGTGGGCACCTATAATCTCAAGGATCACTTGAGCCCAGGAGTTTGAGATTGCTGTGCGTTGTGACACCACAGCACTCTACCCAGGGCCACCAAGTGAGACTCTGCCTCAAAAAGACAAAAAAACCTTCATTATCAATTTTGTGACTTATTTGCATTTTGGTTGTGAGAAAATGGTCTGTAATATTATTAGCAATCTTTCATGCTCTATTTCCATATGATGATTTGGCTTCATGATATATCAAGTGTATTTATTTATCTATTTTGAGACAGAGTCTTACTATGTCGCCCTCAGTAGAGTGCCGTGCATCACAGCTTACAGCAACCTCAAACTCTTGGCCTTAAACTATTCTTTTGCCTCAGCCCCTCCAAGTAGCTGGGACTACAGATGCCCTCCACAAGGTCCGGCTATTTTTCTGTTGCAGTTGTCATTATTTAGCTGGCCCAGGCCAGGTTCTAACCTGCCAGCTTGGGTGTATGTGGCTGGCGCTCTACCCACTGAGCTACGGGTGCTGCCCTACATTTATTTTTAAACTTCTACATAGAGTATTTCTTCTTGTAATTATATCATTTTTTATTTTATTTGTATTTCACTTTTAACTCTATCTTTTCTGATGTTTTTGCCTCAAAACCTGTTTCTTTCTGATAAAGATGTTTTTGCCTTAAAGCCTGTTTCTAGGCTCGGCGCCTATAGCTCAACCGGCTAAGGCGCCAGCCACGTACACCTAAGGTGGTGGGTTCGAGTCCCCAGCCCGGACCCGCCAAACAACAATGACGGCTGCAACCAAAAAATAGCCGGGCGTTGTGGTGGGCGCCTGTGGTCCCAGCTACTTGGGAGGCGGAGGCAGGAGACTCGCTTGAGCCCAGGAGTTGGAGGTTGATGTGAGCTGTAATGCCACGGCACTCTGCCCAGGGGGACAGCTTGAGGCTCTGTCTCAAAAAAAAAAAAAAAAGCCTGTTTCTATAGGCCACACTATGTATTTTCTTAATTCGCATATCTTTTCCATTTTTAAAAACTTCTATTCTTCTTTTAAATTGCAATACTTAGTCCCTTTATATATTTAAGTATTGATATAAGGGGTTCAAATCTTTCTTTTGTCCCAACTGTTCTGTTTCTTTTTGTTTCTTTTGGGGGATTTATTATTACTTTTTCACTGTTTCCCATCTACTGGTTTGGAGTTTATTATTGAATTCTTCTTATTTAATACTACAATAAGGACATTATTCTTGATAATTTATTGGGTATTTCAAAATAATTAAGAGAGAATCACAATGTTCTCAACACAAGCAAAAGATAAATGTTTGAGATGATGGATATCCTAATGACCCCAGTTTGATCACTAAACATTGTACACATGTATCCCCCAAAGACTTTTAAAAATGCCAGGTATTTCTACTGTTTTCAATAAGCTATTTGGAAATCAGGACTCTCAACTCTCAATAAACATCAAACGCATTATCGCAGAAGACTTCATGCACCTGAATAATCATTAAAGAGGAGTCACCTTCTTGTTTTAATATCAGTCAACTAAAGAGTTAGACTCAATTTTAAAACCAAACCACTGGCTTATAGACACTACTTGAAACTTGTTTACTGTGTATTCACCTTTTTAATTCTTTCAAGGGTTAAGTGAATGAATGAAATCACACCCCCGCCAACTTAAATCCCTAGCTTGATCAGTTTGGTTTACCCTAAACACCAAACAGCCAAACTTGCAAGGTTTTGCTTTAAAAACACAAAACTACCTGCTTATATATCCATACCAAGTATCAGGTTAAACTAGTATTAGACATTTAATTAATGTGGGTCACCATCCCCATTTTACAGTTGGGGATGTGAAGTTCAACCTGAGACCATCCAACTCTGAAAGTTTCTACGGAACTGTGTTAAGCACCGGTTTAGACGCTTCAGCTTCTAGGCTTAGCCATATACTAGCTTTAAAATAGGGGCGGGGGTTGGGGTTGAGGGTGAATGACAGGGGAAAGGTATTCCTGCCAGGATCCAAGGTCTGCTGGAAGATTAAACCTCACCTTATGTAATTTAAAGTGCTTTGCGAATTCTTCCCTCCTTACCAAGTGCCAACCAAAACTGGCTACACCACGCCACACGATTTAGAACTCTCTCTATATGAATAATAAAAGTCACTGAGACGACCAAACCTTTAGAGAGGCTGCAAGTAGTGATTTTTGAAGTCATCACCTCGCAGAAGCTTTTCCTGTGTTCCAGGCCGAGGGTCGGGGTCACTTCCCATCCCCACAACCCTCAAACGCCAAACGCTCTTATAGGCCCCTGGCACGTGTAATTCGCCTCAAGTACTTAGGCACAGATCCAGGGAGTTCTCCTGAATCCTAGCAATAGGGGTGGAGTGAAGAGAGGTTGATCCGAATCCCAGGGCTCCACGCCATCCTCTAGATATCAAAAAAAAAAAAGCAAACAGAAAAAAAGGACGGAGCCAGGTTTTGGACCCAACTTTTTACTCTTTCCCACGTGGGTTGGTCTCTTACTCCTACACTCACTGGAGGCCATGCAAAGAGATTGCTGCAAAGTAACTCTGACCACGGCAGTTGGGACCCTGAAGCTCCTGAGTTCTAACCTGTGGCGGGCTGTTAGAACCCCGCAGCTGCCCAAGTTCTAACTCAGGGCTGAACAGTTAAGATCCAGCTCCTGAGGAAGAAATGGCGAAGGCACCAGGCTTCCATCAGCTAGAATGAACAGACCCCTGCTCTCCCGCTTCCTGGCCCTTCGGCCCGGCGCACGCACTCACCATGACGGCGGTTCCGCGGGCTCGACACTCCTGGAGAAGTACAGCCAAACTCGGGGAGAGAACGCTCGCCTGAACCTAAGCTCTACACCGGAGAAGCAGCGGAAATGTCGGCGGCTCGCGGCAGGAAGCGGAAGGACGTCACACGAGCGGGCGGGGCCTGTGGCGTAGCGCGCCGCGGTTTTAGTTTTGGCAAGCGAACGCATTTTGCTATTTTTACTAGTTTTCTGCCAGAAATTATTGGCAGAAACAATGAGTTAAGTATTTAAAAAGTAACCCACCAAAAGAAAGGGTTTCAGTGGTGTCACCATTCCATTGCTAGTTCAGTTTTGAGTACACTCTTGTGCTTTCAAAATCGTCTTTCTGACCCCAGACTGGTGAGGTAAGATAATTATAGGTAACCTAAATGTTGCCGGTATCGTGGGGTATTCTCTGTACAAGTTTCTGGTGGAGAATGGCGTTAGAGCAGTGGTTCTCTTCCTAATGCCGTGACCCTTTAATACAGTTCCTCAGGGTGTGGTGACCCTTAATCATAAAATTATTTTTGTTGCTACTTCATAACTGTAATTTTGCCACTGTTATGAATCGTAATGTAAATATCTAATATTAGGCGACCCCTGTGAAAGGGTCGTTAGAATCTATTGAGTAGGGACTTTAGAAGGAAGAGCAGATTCAGGGGCGTGGGCGTTGAGTTTCTATCAGGTTGAGTTTGAGTTGTCTTAGGACACCCACTTTCTTCTGACCGGCATTTTGCTCTTTTTTCAGTGCTGTTCTTTTTTTTTTTGAGACAGAGCCTCAAGCTGTCCCCCTGGGTAGAGTGCCATGGCATCACTGCTCACAGCAACCTCCAACTCCTGGGCTCAAGCGAGTCTCCTGCCTCAGCCTCCCAAGTAGCTGGGACCACAGGCGTCCGCCACAACGCCTGGCTATTTTTTTTTTTGGTTGCAGCCATTATTGTTGTTTGGCGGGTCTGGGCTGGATTCGAACCCGCCACCTTAGGTGTACGTGGCTGGCATCTTAGCCGGTTGAGCTACAGGCGCCGAGCCTCAGTGCTGTTCTAAATCGCCACTATTTAAAGCTAAACTCATACCATCTCCAAGAGTTTCTTCCGAATTCTCACGGCCCTTCCTGATTTATCTCTTTTTTTTTTTTTTGAGACAGGGCCTCAAGCTGTCCCCCTGGGTAGAGTGCCATGGCATCACAGCTCACAGCAACCTCCAACTCCTGGGTTCAAGCGAGTCTCCTGCCTCAGCCTCCCAAGTAGCTGGGACTACAGGCGTCCGCCACAACGCCTGGCTATTTTTTGGTTGTAGTTGTCATTGTTGTTTGGCAGGCCTGGGCTGGATTTGAACCCACCAGCTCTGGCACCTTAGCTGCTTGAGCTACAGGCGCTGAGCCCTCCCCATCAAACTTTATCTCGTGGGGATCTAATATGATTTGCCAAAGAAAAATTGTCATCAGGGTGCAGTGGCTCACACCTGTAATCCTAGCACTTTGGGAGGCCAAGGCGGATAGATTGCTTGAGCTCAAGAGTTCCAGACCTATCTCGCGCCAGTAGCACAGTGGTTATAGTGCCGGCCACTTGTACCTAGGCTGGCAGGTTTGAACCTTGCTGGGGCCAGCTAAACAACAATGACAGCTGAAATGAAGAAATGGCCAGATGCTGTGGCGGGCACCTGTAGTCCCATTTACTTGGGAGGCTAAGACAAGAGAATTGCTTATGCCCAGGAGTTTGAGGTTGCTGTGAGCTGTCACCACACAGGCCTCTACCAAGGGTGAAATAGTGAGACTTTGTTTCAAAAAAAGTAAGAAAGAGTGCCAGCCTGAGTGAGAGCAAGATCTCTTCTCCAAAACTAGCTAGGCATTGTGGTAGATGCCTGTAGTCCCAGCTACTTGAGAGCCTGAGGCAAGAGGATCACTGGAGCCCAAGAATTTGAGGTTGCTTTTAGTTATGATGCGTGGCACTCTACCAAGGGTGACAACTGAGACTGTCTTCATGTCCTCATATTAATTGATCCTATCAATCACCTCTAATTGGAATAACAAGGAAATGAAACTTTATTTCAGTTTGCAGTTATAGATGTGTCCTTATGGTTTGCTTCTTAGATATTCTTTAAACCTATTTGTGATTATTAATTGGCCTACTTGACATCTTGGACCGTCATATCCCATATCTCCTTAGTAATCACTGGTAGAGATACGATGTTTTTATGACCATAAGTAATGAGACAGCACACTTTACCCAACTGTCTAATTATGTTTCTCAACTATGTAATAACTTAATTTCCATGTTCTTTCAGAATCAGTCTATACTTTTCTGTCTTGCTATTTCCCTTACAAGTTAATAAATCCTGGCTTGGCGCCTGTGGCTCAAGCGGCTAAGGCGCCAGCCACATACACCTAAGGTGGCGGGTTCGAATCCCCAGCCTGGGCCCGCCAAACAACAATG